TATTTTGACCCCAAATAAAGTACTTTAATATTCTCCTGAGCTGGCTGCAGTGATTGTATGGAGAAGAATCAACTGATTCCTGATATCACTCCAGTTAAGCACTAATAAATGGTCCCTCCCCGATTAAATTATAAGCAGTCACTTTTTAACCCTTTGTTGAGGGAGTAGTTCCTGGTTCTTCTAACAGAATGTCTTCTATTGCCTTGTGTCCCCTAGAGCAGTGGTCCCCAACCTTGGGCCTCCAGATGTTCTTGGACTTCAACTCCCAGAAATCCCGGCCAGCAGAGGTGGTGGTGAAGGCTTCTGGGAGTTGTAGTCCAAGAATATCTGGAGGCCCAAGGTTGGGGACCACTGCCCTAGAGGGCCCAATGGAGACTCCATCACCTGGAGCCCAGGTAGGCACAGACAAGAGAGGACCAGCACCAGGTGGCCAGGAGAAACTAGAAGAGGATATAACACATTAAGAGGATGAGGCAGGGGCAGGTTATAAAGGAGGAAGAGGAGGAGGAGAAAGAAGAGGGGGGTGACAGTGCGCCAAACTTGACCAGAGTGGCAGATGAAGATGGGGAGAATGAAGGAGGAGCTTTTCCCCATCTTTTGCACTACTGGAGAAGTAGACTATAGCTGGAGCTGAATACAGGGGACTTGGTGGAGGTCCCAGTGGCCAAGAGGAGAGGATGCAGCAGTTTGGAGCTCCTATCTTTAATTCTACAGCATCTTTGCCTCCAGTAAGGCCCACGGCCCCCATCCTGACCCAGTGGAGGCACTGGAGAGGCAGGCACCAAAAGGAGTATCTGAGGTGGCAATAGGAGGGGCCAGGGAAACTCAAGTATTATTGACTACCTGGCAATGCAAATGTTTACTGAAGGATGTATGGTGGTTCAGGGCTGTCTTAAAGACCTGACAGCCCCAACAAACTATGAGTAACCAGACTTCAGTAGCCAGAAGTCAGGCTTGGCAGAGACTGGACTTGATTGAGGACCTGGTGAGGTTAACGGAACCCCACAGTGGACTGATGGGACAGGGTACAGCTGATGGTCCCTGTTCCCCAAGATTAACAAAGTCAAGTTCAAGCAGTTCTGGGAGTTTGTAGTCTATGGAAACCATGGCAGAGGAAGAACTCTCTGTCACCCTCAGTTTTGGGGAGGAGGGTCAGCGGTGCTCACACTCTCCCTTAAGAGAACCAACAGAAAACCAGTGTTGTCCTCTAAGCACTCCACATCATGGTAGTAGCAGCTTTTCATTCTGTCTTTCCAATGTATGCTCAGACATGAGGCATGATCACAAACCAGCCTTTGTGATTCTAAATGTGAAACCTGGGAGAATGTTATCCAGAGTTTTTCTGCATCGATTTACGTGAAGTACAAAACTTTAGCATTATGCCTGAATATTATGTTAAAATCCAGCTTAACTGCAAATATATCAATAGAATGTAGGGAGGGAAATCCGCTATGCCTGTGACAAAGATGGATAGTTTGTCAAAGAGACGGAATATGAACCTAGTAAAATGGGTTTAAGACACTGTGCACTTTGCTTGCCTTCATAAAGTAAGCAATATTCTGTAGGAAATGCCTGTCAATTGGAATAGTTTCTCGTGTGCCTTTAGGCCTTTTGCATCTGTCTATCTATAACAGTCTCCCAAGAGGGTACAGTAACTGTAATATTATATCAGATTTGCTACAAGAGTAACATGTAAGTGTACCCTCCACATTGATTTTTTTAAAAATAGCTTAGCAAAGCCATATATATATAAAAACACAGCTTCATTTACCCTGTATGGAACAGTGCAAAGGATGCCAGCCTTGATTTTGGTTTTCATTAATGCAAAGTTATTTTGGTGCCCAAGATTATTTCCAAATCCCCATAATACTGCAGGCACAAATCATAAAACATCTAATTTTAAAAGCTTACAATAGGGAATGAAATGTGTTCTGTTCATGTATTTTTTTAAAAAAAAAAACTCTATTTTTCCACCTTAACAATTTTCCTGCAACAGAAAACTTGGCCCCAGGATGGATTGTCTCACTTCCAAACCAGTTTCCCCACAATATTTTTAAAATACATTCCATGTTCGCTTCCTCTGTTGTCTCTAACTGTCCATTTCCGTTCCCATCTTCTAAATGTATTATCTTTGTGTATCTGCAAATTTTTACAACAATCCACGGTTTCTGGAATACAGAGCCAAGAGATACAAAACAAAAGAGTAGTGGGTCAAAGATGGGCCTTTCTTGCATAATCATCCCTGCTGTAAAGTCTTTACCATTAACACTGCAGCAGCAGGAGCAGCAGAAATGCCCATTTAACTACTACTTCTTACTGTGGCACACTTAAACTTGGGGGAGGGGAGGAATCAGTCACATACTCTACTTAATCATGCACGATATATGTTATGCAAAGGCAATAAATATCAGGTCTGTCAGTGTGGCCTTCTCACAGAAGACTTAATGGCTTTCAAAACAACTTTATGATTCAGATACAATTTGTCTTTCTCTGAGATTTTGACACCATATGGTAGATATTCCCCTTGGGTTATAGAATTTGATATATTTGAGAATGGCTACAAATTTCAATTTAGTCCCAGTTCTCACAACTGACTTTGATTTTTGCAAAGATCTGGAATATGAATCTAACATGTAACCATTCTAGTATGCACCACTAGATTTCATAAGGGGGGGCAAAGATTTTAACAGCTTCTGTCACATCTACATTCTCTCCAAGTTCACCACCAAAATTGATTATGAAATCCTGAACAAACTGCATAAGGGAAAAGGCCATTAAAAACAGTGGGACAATAGGTCCCTTCAGATAAAAAGTTTCCAGAGCAGGGAAGAGCAACTTACATAGGTCCACGGGACAATCTTCTGCTTTTGGAACCATCAAAGTATATTTTTGACCTAATTAATCTTAAATGGATGTGATTTCCAGATATGCAAAGGAATGAAATAACAGAACATTGAAAAAAGAAACAACATACAGTAGTTGATTTCCAGTATTTTGGTACGAAATGGGAGGGGCCTAATTAAAAGTTAAATGTGATTCCTGGAGAGTTCCTTCAGTGACACAGGGAGGTTGCATGACAAAAGCCTCATCTACACGTAGTATTATTACTACATTTACTATTGCTTGATAGAAATCAAAAACAGGAGGCAATTCAAAAGTGTGCATACCACTCTCTGTTTTCTCCTTTAATTTCTTGGTTGCAAGAAAATGCTTCCTATATTTCTGTTTCCACTAATATGTGAATATCCAGAACAACACAGCCTTACTTATTATTATAAAATGAGCAACAGTGCTCTTTATCACTACTAGAGTTTTGGATCTTCTATTTGCTTGAACAGAGTCTGCTCCCTTCTTCCGTTTTTTAATCCAGCGGCAGCTCTGCTTTTTAAACAGATATTTAAACGTGATTTGTGTCAAAAAAAAAAAAAAAAAAAAATTCTGCTTTTTAAACAGCTATTATGTGATTTGTGTCAAAAAAAAAAAAAGCAAAGGAATAACTGTGAAACGTCATCATAAACTGGATGACCACAACAGATCCTGCATCCTTTGGTCATTTGGCAGAGTGCTGACATATCTTTCAAAGAACAGCCTAAGTATGGTTAAAGTTTTTGTCTTAAGAAATGCTGGTTGTGACAAATTAAGTCTTGGCATTATGACACAGATGGCGTATACCCATCTGTAGCTATGTGGTACCATCTAAAGTATAGCAAAGCTGAAACTGGTATTGTACTAGCTACCATAGTGATGGGATAGCATTAATAATATTAATATCAATCAAGTGAAGAAATCAGAGTGAACAGATTCTGGCCACTTGGATTTCTAAAACATTTCTATAATAATTGTATTTCCTTTGCCTGGAGCGATTATAAATTCAGAAGTATTCATGTGCATGCATGCATGAGGGAGAGAAATAAATTGAATTACAAAAATAGTAAATTGATATAAGTGTGTCTTAGCTGAAAAAAGATGACTATTAAGCAGCTTGGTATCTAAGGATTTGTGACTTTGTGAATTAAAAAGATACAGTGACGTGAGTTTTCAATTACTTGAAAGCAAAACAGTGAATTTAAGCTGGGAAATTGCCTGTAGAATCTTTGAAAAAATGTCTTCAGAACATTCCTTAAATGGTTATCCAGCTACAGTAGCATCAGTATTGAAGTACAACTATACAAAATAAGTATACAAAATAATCAATATCTGTTTAAGTTTTATTGGAAAAAATGGGCAGTGCTCCCTATTTGCTCAGTATAGTAGCCACTGGGCTAGTTGGCATCTGGCTGCAGAGCCAGAAGTTGGGAATTCAATTTCCCACTGTGCCTCCTTGGGAGGGATTGGAGTCAATGATCCATAGGGTCCCTTCCAGCTCTGCAGTTCAAAGATATGACAAAGATATGTTATGAATCCACACACAAAAAAAAAACTGACAAAAGATTGAAATCCGGTAGTTAGTTGCAAATAGATTAGGGCCATTAAATTAACAGCACCTTCAAAAGAGTTGACTCACCTAATCCCCACTGAATCAGTGAGCCGACACTAGTTGCATCTTACCACCAGGTTTCAGCCAAAGGATCCCAACCATTTTTGGTGAGTTATAATAATACATTTTGGTGAGTTATAATAATACACCATGTAATTGTTCTGCCATTTGCTTGAGTTGAATAGTTTTAATTGTGTTCTTTTAAAGTTCCTGAAGTGCGTTTCTGATTTTGTTATTGCTTCTACTTGTACTTCCAGCTCTGACTAGTAGTTTCTCAGATAATATTCTTGATTGTGTGACATGGTATGCCCGCGTGCCCCCTTGTTTTTTAATTGTTTGAAAACTGTTTTAGATTGTTAGGATTTTAAGATAACATTGCTTGTAACATTCACCTCTTTCAGTATGGTAAAATCTGTAATTGGCATTGCGGATGATTCAGTAAGTGTATGGACAGGATTGTAAGAACTCTTCCTTGGTTCCTAATAATCAAATCATATCCTTTTTTTTTTTTTAAATCTACCAGGAAACAGTAGGGGAGCCTTTTTTCCTGCTGCTGTGTGCCATCAAGCAACAAATCAATAAAGGATCCATAGATGCCATCACTGGAAAAGCCAGGTATACACTCAATGAAGAATGGCTGTTGAGAGAGAACATTGAAGCAAAGCCAAGGGTAAGATAGTCCTGTGCTTCACTAAAAGGAATTTGGTAAAAGGAATGTCTGTATCTGAACCTTAATATTAATATCTACCACCTTTAAAAATGGAATCACCTTTGATGAGTGTCGTTGTCCTGGATCTACATCAGCTCTAGATGTAGTTGGGATCACGTGTCTTGTTTCTGAACAGCCACAGCTAAGGTTACGTATTCCCCAATAGGCACAATGGCTAAGGTTGTCACAAAGGGAAAGGACTGCAGAGATGGAACATTGGATAAATATCCCTATATCCATTCAGTCAGTGAGCTTCAGTGCAGCTGGCAGGCATTTTGCTGAGCTTTCTTTCCACGGACAGTATAAGTTGGTTGACCTTTTAAGAATGAATCCAGTCTTCAGTCTCCCATGAGTACTTGGGACTGTGATGAGCACAGAAATATGGAAAAGGGAAACTATCCTTCAGCTTGGTTGACGTTCTAGGCGTTAGATAAAAAATGGGTAGGTATATTACGAATACGTTAAAGGATCAGTTGTGATTCACAAGTTAAGATACACATAGAATTATGTACGCTAACTACATAGGCTTAAATCTAGATTCTACTTGAAGAGAGTAGACCTATTGAATGAGTTACTGAATGGTATCTCAAAACTGGTGTAAATCAAGCTGAGTCAACTCTGGTTAGAAGCACCAGTTGCATTCAGGCTGCTGTTTCCTTATGAATTGTGCATATCAGGTATCTGTGCTTTCAGAAGAGCAATCAAGAATACCTGAGCGGTCATATGTCATACTTCCAACAAAAGTGCATGTGGCTATATATCTAATTTTAAAACATCTGGTCACTAATACTTGCAAGGCAGAGAATATATCAGGCGTACTGAGAATTCCATCTGATTGGCTGACATCCAGGATATGCTGAAAAAATAAATATTCTAGGATCATTTGCTACCCTGTTTCCCCAAAAATAAGACCTAACCTGAAAATAAGCCCTACTATGATTTTTCAGGATGCTTGTAATATAAGCAGTACCCCCAAAATAAGTCCCAGTTAAGTCAAACCCCGCCCTCGACCATTGTGCATAAAACATCCCCTGAAAATGGAGCAAAAAATAATATAAGACCCTGTCTTATTTTTGGGAAAACAAAATATATAACAATGAATTGGGTAAAAAGAAAATGGAATGTCTCATTTTTACAGCTTCTGGCAAAATAGTAACTCTGCTGCTCATTGAAATGGTTGCTGGTTGTAAAGCTGAGTCCATGGTGTGAAGGCTTTTGTACTTCGTGTTACAGGAATTGTGCTGAAAAGTGATGCTATAAAATGCTTCATGTGGGACTATCTCATTCTAAGAATGTAAAGTCTGGGGAATGTGTTAGCTTCAGCCTGACAGTAAGTGCAATAGACAGACCTTTCAGAGTTCAAACCAAATTCTGCTTTTGATTACATTGCATAAATCAAGGGGGAGCTCTCCTAGAATCAGTGGGGTCACTCAGGAACTGTGATGGTATAAATGAGAACAGGTTTTTGGCACTGTATTCTTTGCTGTGTTGCCCCAGATTCCTGTTACTGACTGATCTATAATTTATAATGCTAAAATAAGGAGTTTAGCTCAGTGAGTTAGGTATCTGGCTGCAGAACCAGAGATTGGGTGTTTCACTCCTGACTGTGCCTCCTTTGAGAAGAGCCAGCCTGTGTGGCCTTGGGCAAGCTGCACAGTTCCACACTGCCACCAGGAAAAAAAAAGGAATAGTAAACTACTTCTGAGTATTCTCTCCCTGGAAAACCCTGAAAAAAGGTCTCCATAAATCAGAATTGATTTGATGGCACATGATTATATTATTATTTAAAGAAGTTAATCAGTCAGTATCTTTGCAGAGATAATTTCATAGGAACAAATCAAAAAAAGTGCCACGGGCTCTTTTTCACAAGCAGCTCAAATGAAGGTGAATGCACAATTCCTGGATGATGATAAATCAAGTCTGTGCAGAGATGTAATCAGCAGGCCAGGAAGTGTTGATAAAGTAATTCTCTATGTAGATTTTGTATCTACTTTATGCTTTTAAATTCTGTCCCAGACCATGCACAAATCATATGCTGATCACAGCGATGTGTATAGCTCAGCTGTTAAGGAGTGCTTGTCACTGTAGCTACACTTTGTCTTGGTAGCTACAATGGCACCCTGCATTACCCTTGCATCCTTCTGCCCTGTCTACCTATTGCAGGTACATTCAAACCAACGACGATAATAGGGCTGTACAAAATGCTATCGTAAAGCCATATGGACATGTTATCCTCTCCAAATACACTGCTTCTCCATGTATATTGTTTTAAATATGTACAGTTGGGGCCCCTAATCCATTTAGTCCAAAGCCATCTACTGTATTCTAGGATCTGCAGAAAAATCTTTCCTGGGTTTGCATAAATTAGAGATTCTTGTAAGTAGAAATGCCAGGAGTTGAAAATGGGACATTGTTTATACAAGAGTATATGCAAGGGATGAGGAACATGTAGCCCTACAAATTTTCTTGGATTGCAGCTGTCTGCATTCCTCTCTATTGCGTTTGCTGGCTAGAAGCAATAAGAGTTGCTATCCAACAGCATCTGGATGGGGACACATTTCCCATCCCTGCATTCACAGAAATCTGGAGTCACTAATTCTGTTGTGCTGGTGGGCATCTGGTAACACAAAAATTGGATGTAAACCTATAAGGAATCTCCCATTTTATCATCCCCCATTTGCAGTTTGAAGTGGTACAACTGAGGCACTGGCTTAACATCTCAGCTACTTGTATTTGTAAGAAGTAGGCCTGTTGATCAGGCAGACAAGCTCAGTTGATTCGTTTCTCTCCTCGTTCAGAGAACAGGATCAGAGAAGATCTTATAGTAGATGCTTTTATTGTTTAGACCTCCTTTATGATGTATGACGCCGAGATTTTTAATAGTTCATCATCACAGTAAGCCAGTGTAAGTCTATTAGCTGCCATTGTGCTACATCCATATTCACTGGTGTTAAATTTCAATTTTATTTCCTATAAAAGTGATTTTATAGAAGGAAATGACAACAGTTATTTTTCCTGCCTTCTGCTTGAGATGGTTCTTGTATTTCAGTTCATGCACATGACAATTAAGGAGAATCTACACAATTATTCTTCATGCTTTCATAGTGCTTTGAATAAAATAATCAGCTTCACTGAGCGGAATTGTAAATCAGCACTTTTCATGAGCTTTAAAATTTGTCTCTTTTTAAAGGCTGTGTATCAAGATTTTTTTAGTTTGTTACAGGCCTTTTATGCCTTGCAGTTTGAACATACCACCCATACTCTAACCAGCCATCTTTCTCCTCAGAATCTGAATGTGTCTTTCCAAGGATGTGGAATGGACTCCCTGACTGTTCGTGTTATGGACACGGACACTCTCAGCCAAGTTAAAGAGAAAATACTTGAAGCCTTTTGTAAGAATATTCCTTATTCCCAGTGGCCGAGGGTAGAAGATGTTGATCTAGGTAAAGATCCCTTTTTCTGTTAAGGAAATGAATACTCATCATACATGGTCATAAAGCTCAAGCATAGAGTGACTGCACTCATGAGTTTATATTTGGCAGTCCCCTCTGGATTAAGTAGTGCCTAACAAGCTTATTGGTGAGGACAGTTTTTTGTTTTAATGGAGTGTCATTCCAGGTCCCCCCCCCCAGATCTCAGATTTCCAATTAACACAGGTTAAAGTTCATGTCCCCATTGTCTTCATTAGGGCTGTCCCTTTGCACAAGGGATTGGAGCCATCCAGAGTGACCTGGTTGCCAGATGGTGC